GGGATACCATAAAATCACGACGTTCGTGAATCGAAATACTGCCGATTTTTGTCTATTGTGGTCCTTGAACCAGTCCATTTGTGGGGGAATGAACCAATGCACAGTGATAACTTCAGCCTAAACGATCAAATACGCTTTCTGTAATTTTTCGGCATCGCTGAAGATTTAAGCCTTAATTGTCCACAAAAAAACATTCCAAAAATTGCAACGGAGCTAACAACTGCATTCAAATCCAGCCTTTCATAGATAAATCACGATACACGGCTAACCATGGCTTGTATATAGCTGCGTGGTTAAAAACCCATCATAGGCAGATAACGCACGTTTTGGCACAATACTGCTAAGTTATCCATGTCTCAACAATAATCCTATCACGTGTCCGTTCGCGAATACAGACTTAGATGGATTAAATCACAAAATTCAGCCAAACATGACTTGTGTGCAGCTGCGCAGAAGTAGTAAGCCCGACATGTATGGACTACGCACGTTTTGGCACAATGCGGCTAACTAATCCATGTCTGCACAATAATCCTAACACGTGCTCATCAACTAACAAAATAAAATGGAGTCATGAACGCTAAAGAGTACAATTCGCGGCACAAGTTGACATTTTGATATTGTGTGTGGAATAACTCCCTTCGATGTCGTTTCACTTGGCCTCACAGCAACCCTGAAGGCGTACTCAATAAACCCCATAAAGCAATTGGAAAATTCTAGCAAAACCTTTAAAATGTTTCATTGAAATGACATTTATTGCCATGCCTTAGCTCGACGTCTTATAGCTTAATAAAATCTGCTGAAACGGGGAAAATTAAAACGGGAACGCGTCCACCACCACTCAACCTACCTACTCCTCTTCTGACTGTGAACTGTTTTGTAGCGATACAAATTTGCCCCAATTTGAGACATCCGCTAAAGTGAAAGCACATTTTGTTGACCAATAGAAACGTGCTGAAACCAGTGAAACATTAAAATCAATTTCAGGATGGAAACCAAGCCTCATTTGTGATCAGTAAATAAATTTGGTAGTCGAATTATGGTTTTATATCAGCCACGACGTTTTACAATCACTGAACAGGTAGAAGGCTATAAAAGCATGAATGATTGTGAGTGTATTCGTGACAGCATTCAACCTACATGAAAGCTTCAAAGATTCAGGCACAAAATCCTGTCAAATATATTTCATGTGCACAAGGCTATTCGCTAGCATTTTAAACTGCTGCTTCTCTGTCTGCAGACATCTTGTGATGACCGCGTCCCTCAACTCCTCTGGGCATTTTTGCGATTTGATCGACGTTCGATACAACTGGCGGTTTCACTGAATTGGTAAGGTGTCTGCCTTTTCTCATTCCATTAAATCGGGAAATTGGGGCATTTAAGCACCGCTTTAATTAAGCTTTCTGCAATTTTTGGCATTGCTCCAGATCTAGACCTTGATTTTCTACGACAATCACTCGAACAACTGAACTGGTGCCAAAAACTGCAAACATAGTGGGTACACTATGAAGCCCAACATACAAAAGTTGGGCAGGTTCGACATGTTTCCTAGCTATTCATTTCCTTTCCTGTCAGCAAACCCAATCTTTCATGGATCAAATCACAAACATGACTTGTTCGTAGCTGCGCAGAAACAGTAAACCCGACATGTATGGAATACACACGTTTTGGCACAATGCGCGTAGCTAATCCATATCTAACATAATCCCATCACGTGCTCATCAGCTAACAAAATAAAATGGAGTCATGAAAGTAAAAGAGTAAAATTCGCAGCACAAACTGACATTCAGGTGTTGTGTGTGGAATAACTCCTTTCGATTTCATTTTAATTGGCCTCACATTAACCCTGAAGACGTACTGTAATTAACTCAACTATAATAATTGTAAAACTCTAGCGAAACCTTCGAAATCCATCATGAAAGTGATATTTATTGTGACAGCTGAGCTCGACCTCGTGTAGCCCAATGAAATCTGTTGAAGCGAGGAAAATTAAAACAGGAACGCGTCCGCCAGCGCTCAACCTACACCCCCCAAACTTCCGTCTTCTGACCGTAAACTGTTTCGTAGCGATAAAATTTGCCCCAATTCAAGACATCCGCTGAGTAGGAATTGCAATTTGTCGATAAATAGGAAAGTAATGGTACCAGTAAAACGCTAAAGGACAATTTCAGGACATGAATAAGGGCTTATTCGTGATTAATTAATAAATTTGCTGCCGAATTGTGGTTTTTTTATCAACCAGGTTTTCCAATCACCGAACTTACAGAGCGGCTTCAAAAGCACGAGGGATTGTGCGTGTATTCGTGCCAACACTTATATCTAGTGTAAATTAAGTTTATTCTGCATGAATGCTTTAAGGCTTTAGGCACAAAGTCGTGTTAAGTATATTTCATGTGCACAAGGCAATTCAATAACACTTTTAGACACTGCTGTTTGTCTGTCGGTAGACATCTTGTGGTGACCGTGTCCCGCAACTTCTCTGGGCATTTTTGCGATTTGACGAACGTTCGACACAACTGACAGATTCACTGAATCTGTAAGATGTCTGGGACATAACAGTACCGCCTAGTTTTGCGTTTTTGTACCATAACTGTCAACTATTCCACCTACAGTCCAGGTGCGTCATGGCACTAATTTTCTGACATAACGGCATATCAGATGATGTCTAGACATATTCTCGTGATTGGATTTGTTCAAATGTTCATTTTTTACAACAGTCGCTTTCCCATTTCAGTCTGATAACTTGTCCGTTCGTTATCGATTAAGAGGCCCAAGTTAGTATTCACGAACACAGATAACTACGAAGGAATTCTAGTACTCTGATTGGTGCTTCAGTAATTTAGGTACACGACGTTTGTGTGATACTGTAAACTTTTTAAATCGTTTCATCTTTTCCCGACAATTAAAAATTTAATGACAGTGGTTTACAACCTTTCTAACCTGTCGCGTTAGCTTCTATGCCAAGTGAGTTGGCAACTTGGCTGAGGCACTATATGGATGCCAGATAGAGACTACGTCGATTTTAAATTGTAGTTCGGTTATTTTTAATATCCAGTCAACTGCCCCACTAACATGTCGGTTAATAATGAATATTTTTTGACAATGAAAATTCTGGCTTATTTCAGTTGCACCAAGTGTCTTTTCGCTTACCAAAAATTTAAGTGCCTTTGGCACCTGTTTATGTTTCACTTGCATTTGGACCCATAGTTTGGTAAAATTTCAACAGAAGACAGGTTTTTCAAACTAAATTGGTGGTACTAAATTGCAGACACGTGGGCTTTTGATTTCAATAAACCCAAATGTTCACTATTAGGCTAATTAGCTTCGTGCTGTTCATGCTCTTAAATCCGATTTGATCTTTAAATAATGGAACGAGTTTTTTAGCCCTCATTTTAATGCTCCGATTTTAGTTTGGGAATTATTTTGCCACCAAATAGACTACGAACTGTTTCCAATTGCTTGGGCCCGCGACTTTCAAATGAGAAAACTAAAACACTGAAGTTAGGAGATGTGCCATAAGGAGTCCTTTTGTAGGACAACCTATGAGGTGATAGACCAATAATGCCACGAGCCGCTCAGCCTCAGCTTGTTTGTGCTGTCGTTGCAATGGCACCACGGCAATGTGAAGGTCAAAAAACGCTACTGAGGAAATGCGAACAAACTGAGCGTAATCCGTTGTTTTGAGAAACGTCAGCTGAATCAATCGGTGTAATTTAACAAAAATGACACCAAACTGGTTACGCATATCCATAACATAGGCCACGTAATTAGCGTTTGCAATTAGATAATACCGTTTTCGTCGCAATCAGATTTCGCCATATACCGACGTATGTGCTTACGGCACCTGCTCAAATTTGGGAAAGACAAGCACTGGCTTGAATACATTGTTCTCCTTTGCAAACAGAAATCGTCTTCTCCCGTAACGACCCCTTTTCCCCATTTCCCAAAACGCATTTCCCAGTTTGATGTGCCTTGCTGCTTACACAATTCAGTAGACAGTAAATTGTAAACATCAAAGAATGTTATGTTACTGAAAAGATTGGACACAGCAGATTTCATTCAAGCCAAAGTGTAGCATTTACTGTTTGAAATCTGCCTACCGGTTTACTTGGTGTTGTGAGCCTTAAGTTAGTCCTTGAATATAGCATTTCGTAGCCTGCGTGAGAGGATGGTGACCAACATTAGTCCCAGCAGATACGGAAATTCCGTCATTCCTTGTGCGTTTAATTGGAACCTGACGCAGGTACTATATAATCTGCTTCCTTCGATACAGAAGCCAAAGTGTTTGATGACGCGTTAATCTATATTTAGTGTATTTGCGACGACCCTGTGGTCTTTTTTCTCAAAAATGCAGTGAGTTTTCATGTGGTTTGAACCTCTAAAATAATCAACGGCGTGATCTCTCATCTGAACACTGCTTGAATAATGAACCTTTAAGGAAAAGCAGGGGCCAAGTTATAAGCTGCATTGTTACCAGAGCAGTAACTACCCTTGTAGGAGAAACCAACTACACTCCGCAATTGATCAGATCTTTCGTTAAACCCAAAAAGTATTAACGACGAGGAGCTTGGGTCTAGAATGTAGATCACATTTTTTCGATTCAATTCTGGGACGTTATCATTCGTTTCTAAAATGCGCCGAGGCATTTTGGAGAGTGCATCCCTTAATTACTTATCGTGGGGTTTAAAGTACTCAAAACGGCCAACTTCGGTTCTCGTGTGCCTTGTCTGACCATTCTCTATGTGAGTCCTCAAAATTTCACGCTTTGTAGAAAATAATTTGCCTTGTAGGTGAAGCCACACGCTTTGCGAATGTGACTTAACCTTCGGTTAATCGCAAGTTGCCAATCAAGTTAGAAAAATGACGAGATTCGTTCGATCTGTAATGTGTCATCTTTCACCAATGTCGACTGAATTGCCTTAATTGAACAGTGTTATCAGAGGTCAATTGATAGTGTAGTTTACGTGGTGCTTCGTAGTACTACTATTCTTTTAGCCAAGTACATGCGGACCCATCTCCGTTGGTCGGCCTTTGAGCGGGCTCTTGTCAAGGCCGTGTCGAGGCTACGGCAGCCTCTGATTGGTCCGCGTCCACGTCGTATTTGCGAGCCAGTCATTTCGGAATGCGTTCTCTGCGCAGCGATTTGTCAATGTCAACCATTTATCTGAGCTCATGTTTTTTATTGGCTCCTATTCGATTGGCCAATATGTTTCAAGGCCGCCTGTGCTCACGTGTGTCCCAGACAAAGAGCGACCTAGCACCGACACAGATCGCGCATTTCAATTCAACGTACCTCATGGAGCCGACAGCTGACATCCGGGAGCAAGCCAACGAATTCTGGCGTCTCGTTGCGAAGTTGTACGCACCTCAGGTTCGCCTATACCGTTTTGCATATTCACTTATACATTAAATGTCTTTATGCGTTTTTGGATGATTGCAACCTTTCCTTTCTAGTTTGCATAGATTCACTTTTAAGCCTGGCACGCCTGACAGCCATCTTACTGCGTCATGCGTCAACAAAAAATTAGCAATCTTGTAATTACTCGTTTACGTAAGGGGTAGATTTTTATCAAACCGAGAGTTAAGCTGTTGCCTTTTTCTAACGTAAAATGCGAATTGCAACGAGACGACACTCAGTACTATTAGTCGATTTCTAAAATGGCGGATTAACTCTACACGACTAACGTCCTTCTGCGCGATTTGCCGTTGCTGGTCGTGAGTGAAGACTACAACGTGCTTCTGACAACTCAGCTGCGTTTTGTTATTGCATGCGACTTGTTAGTACTTGGATAGAATGCCTCTAACTAGACAATGTCTTTACGTGCTTGGATGAAGTCATGATTGAGAGGCTTTAGAGGGATGTTGGAAGCTTGAAAGTGAAAGAACTTGGTCTCTGGCGCCGACCGACATGCTGCATCCCATGGAAGTGTTGTTCTTAAACAGTTGCAGGCATCGTAGATGAAACAATTATTTTACCGACATTCCTCCACTTAGCTAAACAATGACAACAAAGATCGGCTGAAAACAACCAACCCTAGTCACCGTAAAAATTCTAAAGTTTCACGAATCTGCGGTACACCACAAACAGCTCAATAGATACCACAACAACTTGGGGTTGTTAAGACAAACAATCCCTTTGCATACTTTGACGCTGGCGTTTAATCGTAGAGACTGTAGTCAGATGCAGATTGCCACAAACGATTTTGCGACGTGGCCATGCATTGATGCTACGAGATATTCACAGTGATGGGGGTAATGGAGCATGCATTAGTGATTGCAGTGCGTTAAATGTCTTGTAAATATTTTGCTTTGTGTCAGTTCTCAACTAGACACAAACTTCTACAATCAACCAGTGTACATAGCAAGCAAATTCTCAGTTTTAGAAAAATAATTACACGATTTGCATTCACCTTATTTAATAGTTTGTGATTCCAGATTAGTTTTCGCAATCATAAAAGGTGATATTATCAAAATCCTATAATTAGGTGTGATCCGATTACGTGCATTCATGCCAGCTAAGTATCACTTACTTATTTTTAACTTAATCCGTTTTACATCAGACACGAAGTTTTCTATTTGGCTAATAAATAAAAATGGTAGATTAAATTTTTGGAAATATTTTGCTTCATTTTACATATTACTGGATCAAAAAAATTTAAAAAAAAAATGGTAAATTGCAATTTAACCTATTTGAAATCAACGCAGTTTGGAAATTGACTTTAGAGCGTGTCAAAAATGTTTATTGTTTTTGCTTTTAATTACAACAAGGTTAGTTCGAATAATTTTCTAAACGGCATAATTTCATAATTACAAAAAATTAATGATGTTCACAAAAATGGTGAGCGCATTCTCGGGCGGGCCATTGTAGAAAGATTACCTGTTGCCTCATCAACAAACCAATTGTTGAATTGCGTGGAAGGCCGTGTGCTCAGATACACGTCGCTTATTAAAATCAAGCAATTTATGCTATTTGAATCTAATTTCGACTAGATTTTCACGTTCGTTTTTGGCGAAAAATGACTCACGTGATGATATTTCTCACACAATTGAACATTAACACCTAAATTGTCACCCCTATACTTTTTGATAGCTAATTTGTGCCAACATGGAGATAAGGTGGTAATTTTGGGTGCGTCAAATTAGCTGCGACGGAGACGCTAGCGTTAATTGTGGTGTTCGGGCAGATCCATGCTTAACTAGTTTTGAGTAGCAAGCACTCCTGCCGCAACGTGTTGTGCAGCCATAGCGGCTTTTAGTACATCAACTACGATAGAGATCCGAGTTGACATATAATTGATTTTTTTACGTGGGAATCGATAATGTTGATCTCAACTGTGGATGACGTCAGACCACTGAAATTTGAGTGAAGTACAAGAAGTTCAAGATCTCATTCCAGGCACGTGGAACCATCGAAAAGCGTTTGATCGTTCTTCCGGGACAGTCGACTTCCACTTCGTACTAGGCCATAACTGGTGCGGATCGATGTCATGCTTTCGTGTTGGAGAATAGGAACTGCGAAAAGTGCCTTGCGCATGTTTGCAAAAGCAACTGTTCAAGGATTGCAATATAAAAAGATGTGTTGAACGATTGACCGTCTACAAGAAGATTAGAAAATGTAGATGGCGCTTAGCTTAACTAATTTTTTGATGCAATAGCGGTGTGTATTTGAACTGGATTCCAAGTGCGTTCAAATAGCTTTGCTAGGCATCGACCTCTGAACGAACGGAGTTGCGACCAACGAGAATAGAAGGCGTTCTGTGTGCAACTGGTTGATGGAAGCAGTCTTATTTGGCGCAGCAATACGCAATGCCTGAATCACCCGCGTGTCTGAAGAAATACGCAACAATGTAAACCCGAGTGCGAATTTCATTGGTTAGACGGCATTGGTGAAGGCCTAAGTGTTCTGTGTTAAGATCATCGTCAAACTGCACCTGGAATACCAGATGGAATTAAATCATCAAATTGCAACTCAGTTATCTGCCAGCATGTGCAACAGCACAGTTTGAAACTTATAAAAAAAATTTGAAACTGTGAGACGAACGTCGACTGGTCAAAGTGAATTTACACAGCATTGCGCAAGACAATGCCCGATTTATTTGCTCAGAATGTGGTTTTGAACCAAGATTTGCAGTTGCGACGGGTAGGTCTTATCACGGAGATAGATAAAACTGAGCAGAGTAGACATGGTCGCAGCGCGTTCTAAGGCGCTTAGAAAGAATTTTTTGACTTACTAGTCGCAAGAAACCGAACGCGTTCAAAAGGTGGGATTATCATTGTCGAAGCTCCAGTGTCGATCTCTCACATCACCGAGGCTAGATGGCATTCGTTTACACGACCCGACTGGAAAGTAAAAGAACCGTTTTGAGGTGTAGCCCGACCACCTTATTGCAACAGCAAGGGTGTGTTAGTGATACGGGTCTCTGAACGGACACTGCTTCGTGAACCACATCATGGATAATCGATTGACTCTGTGCTCGATCACGTTTGCTAACAATGTTCGCCCACTAATTGCAACAACAGTCGATTCGTTATGTTTACAAACACGGTGTTGTGTATTTCAAGATGTATTCAGGAGGGCAACAATGATGAGGATCCAAATCATCGGAACCTGGACGATCCTTTAGTTGATATGAATCCGTGGCCAAAGATCTCTGCTGCACCAAGCGCTAAAGCATCTAGGCTCAAATGACTAGAAAGTGATAACGTTCCCATCAAGACAAATTATCGCCAATCGCCGAGTGCCGAACAGGGAGAAAAGTGTCACTGTACCTTTTCATTTACGCTGGACAAAGTTTGCGGGTTTGGAGTCTGACCTTCCACGTGTCACCCTGTGATGCAAAGTCGATCGGGAACTGGTAGTCGTAACGCTGACCCAAGGAGATCAACATTAGTCTGTTTTTCTAGGTTAATAGTCAAACTCTGAAATGCTGTAGGTTAGGTCGTAGACTGACGGGCGTACTGATGGGAGCTGTCTGATAGCTCTATCGATCTGCCAGCATGTCCATAAGCCGCTCGGGTAATTGTTCCATCTGTTTATCGCTCATCTCACCTACGTCGTCAATTGTTACGGTTTGTCGGCCGAAGATGAAAATCCCCGGGCTCAAACAATTGAAACTTCTAGACTACGTCTCCCTCATTAGCACTCAGAAAAAGCACAAATGAATCAGTGCCTCTCTACGCTAATACAAGATCGGACCTTGTGCAAGCCAAGCGCACGTTCAGATGTGACGGCCTACATACCGTGTGGGCGGTCTTAAACGCAAGCAAGAGAAATGAAGACGACGGTGGATGTGAAGGCAAGAATTGGTGTGTTTAAATACGAGTGATGAGGAAGAGTAGGAGACTGTCAAAAGCTTGAAGGATGCAGCTGCCCTAACAGGCACGTCAGGTCGTGAACTCCTGGAGCAAACTACCTTACATTCAAGAATTTCACAGAATTCCTTGACCGTCGGCAATGACCAATCTGCACCCATCACAAACCGCTTACTTTTGTCAATAGTTAGAGGTGCGTTCGATTCTCATCAGAGAAGCCACGAAACTTAGATAATGTCCCTCAGTTATCAGCCAACATGCGCCACATCTAAGGTGTTGACAATACTGTAGCCACTTTACCCTCGTTTTCGTACATCGATGTCTTGAAAACGGAAACATATTCTGGTTCTGAAAATATGTCAAGAATTGCATGAGCATAAAATACAAAGAACATAGATCCCTCTGCCTACATTCACAAGTACCATTGTCTGCGACATTTCAACCAGCCTGCAGCACCCCTGTTCCGAAACGGATGCGCTGCCAAGTTTTCCAAGTCCTCTAAGGTCCTGCACATCCTGGTCTACGGGCAACAAGGAAACTGATATCAGACTATCATGTGTGCCTCACCATGGATCACGAGATTCAATAGTTTACTCGAAATTGTGTAAATTAGCGTTCCTGTCACAAGATTTTATCATGCAAACGTCGCTATAGGGGAACGCTTGCCGCACCCGTGGATTTCCCGTTACCTGTTCACGTGCATTGACCGTTTTGCCCGATGGCAAGCCGATTTTTCATTGCAAGGTGTTTTCGTCGAAATCTTAGCCAATACGTTTGTGGACAGATGAATTGCTTTATTTGGGGTTATCTTTGCCAGTACCACAGACGCAGTTCGAATCCAGTCTGTTCCAAAATCTCACACACACCCAGGGGATAAGCAGCATCCGAACGACCACTGCAGAAATCGTATTGGAAGCAACATTCAGACTTCCTGGACAATGTTTTACCGCAGTATCCCAAGAGCCTTGACTGGACCCATTCAACTACGTCGATCATTTCGAGGAGGGGGCAATAAGTACATTGAAGTTTTACTTATTTTCTTTCTCCTTTCACAACTTCTAACAACCCTGAAAGCGCTGTCCTCGTGCACTCACGTTTTCATCAGACACGAGGCTACTCTGCACCCAGTTATGCTCCTTTATTCTGACAACGATTGCTCTTGCAGTCAGCAGGAACCCTCGATCCTGAAAATTACGCAATCCACCTCGTCGTAATGCATCCACTAGCTCTCACGATCCGTCAAGTCTCTAGCGACGACCACTTACATGTCAGTTCCCAGAAGGAACGCTTTCGTAAACAACTTTGGTTAGCAATGCCAAACATATTTCTCCAAATATATGCTTCCTGATCAGCCAAGTGAACTGGCTCCACGGAAAGGAATCATTTGAAGTAATTACTTACCAAGGTGGAGTAGGATAGTGGCTATGTCCGAGAGATTAATTTTAAACAAAACTGGCTTCTCTATCAAGGATCACTTAACTAATTTTGCCTTCAAACTGGTTTCATAACAAATAATTTGAAAAAGAGTCAAATTTCATACTTCAAGTCTCAATGTATGACGGATTTTCATTAAAGACAACAATTTTATCGGTAACCCTTGACAAAATTTGCCCAATAAGGCGCCTGTTTTGTGCGAAATGCGGAAAACGCACGGGAAATAAGCCGCCATCAGCTCAATATCCACAGTAGCGGATTCAATTGGGCGCAATTAATTTGGTCAAGCTAACCCCCTTTTAATTACTCTGTGGTGGTCAATTTTTTTATTAGCATGCGATGATGACCTCCAGCGCTGATTACGCCATCAACACGTCGTCGAGCAGCTCCACTACATGCGATTCTTCGGGGGGTCGGTGGACAGGCGAGCTGACCTCTGGTAAGTCTGCTCACTTTGACTAAACTGCGCACATTGTGATCCTTTCTCTGCAGAGTAAATTTCATGACGCACACACACACGCACACCGGTACACCAATTTTGAAGTAAATTAGTCCTGAAGTGCGTCACAGGTGTGGTTGCGACAAACTTCCCACTTCCAAAATGACATCAACGAACGCAAGGTAGACTAGGACAGGATTTTTAGCTACGCCAGAAATGGGGCTTTGTGGAAGACACTAGAGTTGATCATTGACGAGGCAGTTTAAATAGACTGATTTCAAGGACAATTTGAAGATGAGTGCGTAGAGTTTGGTTGGACAGGTGCATGAATGAGCTAGCTGCAATCAAGGGCATAACTTTAACATGAAGCTGTGAGCGAAAACGCGCGTTGATTTTTAATTGCTACAGGTTCAATGTCACATTTCGCGTCAATCAAATGTTTAAACAGCACTTTACTTTGTATAGATGCGTGAATAAAACGTCACAACATACGTTGAGAGGTAACCTCTCCTAATACTGTAAAGGCACACACTTAAACCTCACATAATTTGCAATTTTTTCAATGAAACTGATTAAAAAGGGGACTTTTTCATTTGGATGAACTTTGCCTCGTTACTCCAATTTATGAAACACAGCCTACTCCAATGCATCTTAACCGTATTTGATTCATTTGAAAAACGGCAGATGCCAAGAAATAATGCGTTACGTAATAAGGTAGTGGTATTATTGCATCGACGGCAGTAGTTCAAACCTTGCATATTGCGAAAAAAATAGTAGCCCACCATAATTTTTTGCATGTTACCCTCTGGGCTGTGGTCAGCCGTTTATTTGTAGTCGCAAAGACGACTTACTGGGAAGAGGCCATTGGAAAGGAACGCTTGCCTGAAGCATGAGAAGCACAAACATAATTACCTACTGACGATTAATTCCAGGACAACCATTGCGAATAGTAAACTTGATCATGTTGCTAGGAGTCATGACCTAGGTGAAAACCTAGATAATTGGTTTGAAATAACACCACACAATGGATCAAATCACACGTGAGACGTGTTCACAGAGTTTGAATGAGAAGGGCATGTGTTGTCACCAAAATGTTAACACATAAGTCGGGCCCAATTTTCGATGAGTGATTTTTAAAACGTCTTTGCATTTATTCAACTAATGTGGCAACTGTGAAAAAAAACAATCAGTGACAACAATCTTGTTATCAGCTTCCTTCGTCCAGTGTTGATTTGTCGATAAGTTTCGTTTCTATTCGATTTAGGTGGTGGTCTTCAAACCGGCATCAACAATGGTTTAGTGAAATCGGAACCAAACTCTAGCGGTGCGATGCAACAAGGTATCTTGAGTCCTTTTTTAGTTACCTAAAACACAGCTGCATTCTTGTTGATAGTTTTTGCAAATACCTGAATGTTTTAAGAGTTCTGATTGTGGATGATGCGTGCTACAATTTCAGTAGCACAAATCCGACTGGGTTCCAGTTTGTGATGTGTGCCGCATTTACTGACTCTGCACAAATGCACCAAATGTGGCGATTGTGACGAAAACATCAGAGACAGCATCCTTGTTGTCAGCTTCTCATGTCTAGTGTCGATTTGTCGATGAATATGGTTTTTTTATTTGATTTAGGTGATGGTCTTCAAAGCGGCATCAGCCAGGGTTTACTGAAATCGGAACCAAACTCTAGCGGTGCGATGCAACAAGGTATCTTGAGTGCTTGTTTAGTTAATTAAAACACAGCTGCATTCTTGTTGACTTTGTTGCAAATACCTGAATGTTTTAAGACTTCTGATTGTGGATGATGCGTGCTACAATTTCAGTAGCACAAATCCGACTGGGTTCCAGTTTGTGATGTGTGCCGCATTTACTGACTCTGCACAAATGCACCAAATGTGGCGATTGTGACGAAAATATTAGAGACAGCATCCTTGTTGTCAGCTTCGTATGTCTAGTGTCGATTTGTCGATGAATATGGCTTTTTATTTGATTTAGGTGATGGTCTTCAAACCGGCATCAACCATGGTTTGCTGAAATTGGAACCAACCTCTAACGGTGCGTTGCGACTCGCTCTCTTGTCTCCCTGTTTATTTCAATGAAACACAGCTGATTTCTGGTTGACAGTTTTTGCAAATACCTGAGTGTTTTAAGACATCTGATTGTGCTTGCTGCGTGCTACAATTTCAGTTGCACAAATTCGACTGAGTTCCAGTTTTTGAGTTGTGTTTCATGGTGTGACTTTGCAAATGTGCACCAAATATGGCGATAGTGACGAAACCATCAGGGACAGCATCCTTGTTGTCAGCTTCTTATGTCTAGTGTTGATTTGTCGTTGAATATGGTTTCTATCTCATTTAGATTATGGTCTTCAAAGCAGCATCAACCATGGTTTAGTGAAATCGGAACCAAACTCTAGCGGTACGTTGCGACTCGCTCTCTTGTCTCCCTGTTTTGTTAAATGAAACACAGCTGCATTCTTGTTGACTTCGTTTCAAATACCTAAATGTTTTAAAAATTCCAATTGTGAGTGCTGCATGCTATAAATGCAATCGCAAAACTCCGACTGGGGCCCTGCTAATGAGGTGTGTTTCACCAAATGTGGGGATTGTGAGAAAAACATCGAAAATTACATCCCTGTTTTCCGCTTCTTATGTCTAATGTTGTTTTGTCGTTGAAAATGATTTCTATCTCATTTAGATTATGGTCTT